GTCGATCAACACCTCAGTGACATCACCCTTGCTGCGCAAGGGGAAGACTGTGGTGTAACGCGAGTAGTCGTCAACCACCAGCAGGAAGTAGCGCTCGTGACCCTGTCCACGGACGCGGGCCGGGCCCCACACGTCCATGTGAAGCGTCTGCAGCGGGGCCTCTGTCGGAGGAAACTGGGAGGAATGAGGGGTAGCCCGCTGTCGTCCCTCGACACTGGGGACGCAGGTAGGGCCAGGCCCCGGAGGAAGTGGAGGGAGGGACCGGGGAAGACCAGAGACAAGGACACGGGAGGCCATGCTCCGGAGACGAAGCAGGGAGGGGTGACCAAGGCGGTGGTGCCAGAGGAGAGTCTCGTGAGACAGGAGGCGACACGAGCAGGGGGCAGACTCAGGACCAGACCTGGACGCTGCAGCAAACACCTGACCCGACGCAGCTACCTGACCAGACGCAAGGACCGGAGGAGACGCAGTGGTCAGTGTGTACAGGCTCGACCCCGGCCGACGTGTAAACGTGGCCAGGTGTCGGCCTGTCCGAGCGTCCGTGCAGTGGGTCACCCGCTGACTCGCAGGAGTGAACTGGTGAACCCCCGCATCCTGTAGGTCAGCACCACTCACCAAGTTCGTAGAGAACGAGGGGAGGTAAAGACCAGACAGGGTGCCAGAGGGGGCCGCCGGACACGGGAGGACAGTGGAGAAGTGAGCAAGGACAGGACCCCCAGAGGGGTCTGCCAGAGAGACCGCAACTGGCCGGTCAAGCGGCGTGAGTGTGGTGCGGTCTCGAAAGAAGGAGCGAGAAGCCCCCGAGTCAAGGGTAAAGGTGTGGGAGGCCGAAGCCGACGCAGAACCTGAGAGAGCAGACTCACCAGTACCTGAGGGAGCAGACGCACCTAGAGCAGCAGCCTCGCTAGCACCTAGAGCAGCAGCCTCACCAGGACCTAGAGCAGCAGTCTCAATGCCCGGGTCGGGCGGAAAACACCGGTAACAGTCACCCTCATCACTAATAGTCACAGTATACATGGCAGCAAGAATAGCATCAAAGTCAAGGTCAAAGACAGCCACACCCGCCCTAGACAGCTCACCCCAGCGGGGGATCTCAGTGGCCTCAGGGAACTGGTGACGCCAAGCGTCCGTCAGGCGGCCAAAGCAGCGCTGGGTGGAGTGCGCACCCCCGCACTGCTCACCCGCGCGGTCGCCGGTGCGCAGGACGTAGGTGCACGGACCAGTACCCCAACCCCTCTGGCGTGCAGTGTACCACTCACGGAGCTGCTGAGGGGAGGGGACGTCACGAGTGCGCTGCTGCTGCTGCTGCTGGCGCTGACCACCACCGGAGCTGACCCTCTGCGCAGCGCCACCCCGACCAGCTCCACCTCCTCCGCCGCCTCCTCCTCCACCGCCGCCACCTCCGCTCCCTCCGCCACCGCCGCTGCCGCCTGCGCCTCCACTGCCGCCACCTACACCTCCACCCCCGCCACCACCCCCACCGCCACCCCCACCTCCTCCACCGCCTCCACCGCCGCCTCCACCGCCCCCGCTAGCTCCTCCAGCGCCCCTGCCCCCCTTGCCCCTGCCAGGGCGGCGTCTCCCGCTAGGGGTAGACGCTGCCCCAACCGACTCCAAACCAGCGAGGTCGGCCGCAGCAGCAGAGGCAACAGAGGGCAAAAGAGGGGAGGGGGAACACCCCTCAAAGATGGGGGTGCGAGGGTCACCACGAGAGGCTCCTACAGCGACTATGCTCTTTTCTGCTGCTAGGAGGGCCTTCTCGAGGAGGTCAACGGTGAGAGTGGTGGGACAAACCGAGAGGAAGTGGTCCCTGACTACGCGAAGGGAGTCAGGGAGACGGGTGACTATGTAGTAGAGGGTGATGTACATGGGGGGGGGGTTCTTGGCGCAGAACTCAGCAGGAAGCGCAGCGCGGTAGCGAGTGTCACTAGTGCGGAGGTGCGTAATGAGGTCAGCGACTGTGGGAAAGGCAGCAAGGTCAGGGAAGAGGTACGGTAGCATGAGGCGGCTCAGTGCAGCAGTGGCAGGGGAGGAGTAGCGTGCAACTACAGCGTCGTACAAGGTCTGAGCACTCTTGTACTGGCTAAAGTGCGCACGCTCAGAGGTAGGTAGGTGGCGACGCACAGCAAGACGTGCAGCAGCATCGCGCGTGGCCCACTGTGAGCGAACAGTGGCGTCAGCATCAGCAGCGGGGGCAGGAGAGGCACCAGAAGTGAGGTCAAAGAGGGAGAGGCCGTCTGCTCTGTCGCACTGTAAGAAAAGCTGCAGGTCATCTATCCAGACGTCAAAGTCAATGGCCCGACCCTCAGCGTCAAAAGCGAGGACACTAGGGGTAGCCATGACAGCAGTAGACTAGCAGTGCAAACAGTAGGGTGAGGGCAGTGCTGTGAGAGAGGCGCTGCTCTTACCGGACAGGGCGGTTCGGGCGGCTCGGCTGCAGGGCGGCTCGGCGACTCGACGGCTGGGCGGCTCGGCTGCTGGGCGGCTCGGCGGCTCGGCTGCTGGGCGGCTTGGCTGCTGGGCGGCTCGGCGGCTGGGCGGCTCGGCTGCTGGGCGGCTCGGCTGCTGGGCGGCTCGGTTGCTGGGCGGCTCGGCGGCTCAGCGGCTGGGCTGCTCGGTTGCTGGGCGGCTCGGCGGGTGGGCTGCTCGTAGGAGTAGAAGCGGGGGCCGTAGGAGCAGGGGCCGGAGGCCGCTAGGGCGGCGGATCGGGGCCGCGAGGGCGGCGGATCGGGGCCGCGAGGGCGGCGGAGTAGGGGCCGCGAGTGCGGCGGAGTAGGGGCCGCGAGGGCGGCAGATCGGGGCCGCGAGGGCGGCGAATCGGGGCCGCGAGGGCGGCGGAGTAGGGGCCGCGAGGGCGGCGGATCGGGGCCGCGAAGGGCGGCGGATCGGGGCCGCGAGGGCGGCGGAGCGGGGCCGCGAGGGCGGCGGATCGGGGCCGCGAAGGGCGGCGGATCGGGGCCGCGAGGGCGGCAGAGCGGGGCCGCGAGGGCGGCGGATCGGGGCCGCGAGGGCGGCGGATCGGGGCCGTGAGGGCGGCGGAGTAGGGGCCGCGAAGGGCGGCGGATAGAGCCGCGAGGGCGGCTCGAAGGGGCCGCGAGGGCGGCGCGAAGGGGCCGCTAGGGCGGCGCGAGAAAGGGGAGCGCGACTCGGGCAGGGGCTGAGTGCGCTCCGGGCAGGAAATAAAAGACGGTGGGCCCTAGGAACAGTTCCCACGGGGGAACCTGCTCGATACCATGAGAAGAAACAAGGAATGATTGAACTATGAATGAATTTGGTACAAGTACTAACCCTAATTGGGTTGTACCCCTTATGGGCTACCCCACTATAGCCTACACAATATGCATGAGCTATAATGTTCTGACAACTAAAAGCTGATATATAAGGTATATAAAATATATTTTAGCACCACGCAGCAGGGAATGGGGAGCAGCCATGTTCACGAAGCTCGAGGCGTTAGAATCCTTCGACGCTTGGATTCTCGTGGAATGTTCAGTGGTGAAAGGAAGGAGATCAATGTTAGGAAAGTGAATGTTTTGCGTTAAAACCGTTGTCAACGGCAATGTTTTGCATTAAAACCGTTGTCAGCGGCTCCATCGAGCACGTTAAAGCGCTTTGGGTCGTCCTCGGCTATGATCGGCGCCACAAGATTGCTTTCAACCATATCTTTGTACCCATGAGCCGCCATACATTCGTGCAAAACCAACTCGCCATCGCTACCACACAACACTTGCCACTCGGACAGAACAACGTCAAGTTCACGTTCCCGTATGCGCTACTCGACTTCGTAATCTACGTGGAGCAACCGCACACTTATGGCAAAGGAGAGTCCAAGGTATGTCAGCTAAAAATGTCACTGTACAGAATCAAGCGACGCTTCCAAAGTGGCAGCGGCACTTGCACAAAATCCTGCCTGACATAGGCTTCACACAGGTGCTGCATGACCCTGGTGCGGAGAGACACTCTACAATAGTCGTGAGCTAGACTATAGGGGTTGGCACGAACTCTAGGAGTGAACGTATCTTTGTTTGCGTTCCTTAGCACTTGCACATTCACAGGAGAAATCGGCAAAAGTTTCCTCTAGCAAAGTTCAGATTACAGAATGATAGAATGACAATGACAAGAATGACAACATCAGGCACCTAGCAACTTTGCAGCTAGCCTGGTCGACCGCCAGCACAGCATGGTCGACCGCCTGCCAGCGTTGCGCAGAGGAGCCGCGCCAGCACTGCAGAAATGCGGCCAACCAGCACAGCAGGTCGACAAAGTGCCAACGCTGCAACAGAGCGGCTGTCCAGTGTTGCACCCGTAGAAGACAGCAGTGCACACTTCCATAGGTGCGTGCATACGATTATCCCGACTTGCACCGTTGTGCATCCGTCGGCCCTAGTCTGCGCCTGACGAGCCACATCGCCTTCGTCATCGCGACATCAACGATGTTCGCATGCCTCCGCAGAACTCACCGTGCAGGTTACCTAGTCGACAAGCTCGACCACCCAGTGCCCTGGTCGATGCCTCCCTCGTCGACCACAACTTCCGTCGAGGAACACCCTGGTCGACGAACTCCTCTGTCGACCAGCACTGTCAGCTGCTCCTTCTGATTGACGGCCCGTTTGTTGACCAGCTCGGTCAGCTGCAGTCGTCAAGCTCCCATGGTTGACGGCTCCAGCACCGCGACAGACTTGTGCAGGTCGATGACCACCTCGTCGACCTGCCCCGTTGAAGAAGGCCGTCGAGCTCCCCTAGTCGACGGCAACACCGCAGCAATCCCCTGCAGCTCGACAAAGCCCGTTGAGCAGCTCCCTCAGTACGTACGGTCGGCTGCTTCTCCCATATATCCGACCAGGACGTTAGCGTCGCTCAAGCGAGGGCGGGGCCAACACTCCATTCCCGTTAACACTCCCTTGCCGCGCTCACACTTAGGGCCCCAGCCCACACTGCAGTACTCCATGGAGAAAACTCGTCCTCTGCATGCACCCCACACATAGCACATCGTCACCGCACTAGCCGTGCAGAAGGGCACGGCACCTACTGCTGCACATCATCGTCCCCGTCGCCGACGTTGGCCAGGCGCACTTGGCCGATCGCGACGGAGCCTTCGTCAGAAAGTCGGCCGGCTGCTCGGTGGTCGGGATGTACTTCAGCACGAATTTCCCGCGCCTCACAATGTGCTGCAGCCAGGCATAGCGTCGCTCCATGCGCTTGAGGTTGCTCGTCAGCCCCAAGCCCTCAGCAACCGAGATGGCCGACTTGTTGTCCACCTGAAGGACAGTCGGCTTCCCAGCTTCAAGCTGCTGGAATTCCGCAAGGAGGAAGCGGAGTCGGCGTCCCTCCTTGCCAGCATCCATGGCCGCCACGAACTCCGACTCAGTCGACAACAATGTCGCACACTTAATGCGTGAGCTCGACCAAGAGACAGCGGCCCTTCCGTAGACGAACTCGTAGCTGCCCGTGCTTGTCCGGTTCTGCTTGTCGCCCGTGTCGTCCGAGTTTACGTAGCCGATCAGCTCCAGCGACTTTGGTCCACCGCCGAACTCCAGAGCGGTTTCGAGTGTATCAGCGAGGTAGGCGAGGCAGCGGTCAACCTCGCGCCAGTGCTGGTCGCTCCTCACCGTGAGGCCGCTCCCCAGCTTGCTACAGACAAAGGCAATGTCAGGCCTTGTCATTGTCGCCGCAAACTGCAGCGAGCCAACCTTCTGCCGGTACTCCTCCTCCTCGTGCTCCTGCGCCTCCTCGTCGTCGAATGTCAGCTCGGTGTAGGCGTCAACCGAGACCGGCGTCTTCGAGATCCGAACGCCTTGCTCCTCGTCAATGAAGTGCCTGCGCAGCTTGTCGGCGTAGCCCTGCTGCTGCAGCCACAGCTTCCTCGCTGGCCTGTCGCGCACGATCTCTAGCCCGATGTACTTGACCACCGGTGAGATCTCACGCAGCTCGAAGGCGGCCTCCAGCAGCTCCTTCAGCATCGCGGTGCTGTTGGTGGTGGCGAGCAGGTCGTCGACGTAGACCAGCACCTAGCAGGTCACTCCATCATTGCCGACCTTGAAGTAGAGTGCCATGTCGACCTAGCTCTTCTTCCAGCCAGCGCCCAGCAGCACGCCGTCGAAAGCCCTGTACCATAGCAGCGGCGACTACTTCAGCCCGTAGAGGCTCTTCATCAGCTTGCACACCCAGCCGGTCCCGTTGTCGAAGTAGTCTAGCTGGTACATGTACAGCACCGGGTCGAGCTTACTCTGCACAAAAGCGTTCTTCATGTCAAGCTGCATCAGGTTAAGGTCGAGGACGGCAACGATGCTGAGGAAGATTCTCGGCGTGACGTAGCTGCTTACTAGTGAGTACGTTTCGTCGTAGCCGTCGCCGTACACCTGCGTGAAGCCCTTCACGACCAGCCTTAGCTTCTCGCGCTCGACGGTGTCATCGATGCGGTACTTGGTCGTTAGCACCCACCGGTTCTTCATGATGTTCACCCCGTGTGGGCGTTCAACCAGCTTCCAGGTGCCCATGCTGACGTGGCTGCGGATCTCCTCGTCCATGGCGGCCTTCACCGCCTCGCCCTTCCAGCTCGCCAGTGCCTCCTTCACCGTCATCGTCGCGATGTCCCAGCGGTGCTCGGGGTCGGCGTGCACATCGGGGTCAAGCTCGGGTAGGTCAACATCCGCCTCGGCATCGTCGAGCAGTGTGGTGAAGGTAGTTGGTGGCAGACAGGCGTGGTAGCTCAGCCACTTTGGTGGCCTCCGAGTTCAACCCTGAGCGTCGCAACTGTTGGTGCAACCTACAGTTTGCACTTGGCTTGTTCTCTGTGTGCGAGCATGTGTGTGTGCATGGAATGGTATGAGGGCATGGGATAATATATATTCTATGCTTATAATAGTGTGTGAATGATGAGTCATGGTATTGAGTGTGCGTGTGTTGAGACAATAGGGAGTTATCGCTAGTCGTGTATTACGCAGTCATTTTGTGTGTCCCGCGCGGTTTCTATTTCGGCGTTTGTGTGTCTCGCGCGGATTCTATTTTGTCATGTGTCGAACGTTTGGCGTGTCGCAGGTGTGTGCAGCAGACCCATCAAGAACTCAAGGATGAGTTTGTGGTAAAGAACCAGAGCCTTGGTGTCAACATTCAAGTGATCGCGAAGCCCGCGAAAAGGGTACTGTCAGGAAGTAAGAAACAAGAATGACTAGAAATGGAGAGTACAAGGTTTGTATAGGCAAAACCTAACAGTACTGTACCCCATAAGGAGTACCCCAATACAGCCTACAATATAGTTCTGACACACCCCCATAGGCAAAGTGGGGGACAAGCAAGAGAACAAGGCAAGGTCAAGCTCAGGGTGGATCACGACGTCACCACGCAATCTGAGCACAAGTAAAAGGCCACAAGGCCAGTTCACATGCAGAGGTATAAATCAAGGTGAACAAGTAAGACAGTGATCTCAACCTAGCAAGAGTCAGCATGCAGGTGCAGGTATATATAGATCACAGTACAAGCAAAGTCAAGAGGTGAGCAAGTGAGGCCAGGTAGGCACAAGACCTAACATACTACAAAAACGCTGATGATCACAAGGCTGAAGTGCCTTGGTAAAGATATCAGCAGTGTTGGCCCGAGTGGCCACGTAAGCCAGACGAAGCTGACCACGCTGCTGAAAATCTCGAGCAAGGAAGTAGCGCAGAGCAATGTGCTTCGTTCTGTGCTCTAGTCTGTGCTCCTGACACAAGGCAAGCATGGCCATGTTGTCGACATACAGAACTAGAGGAGCATGAGGCGCCTCTCCCAAGTCGGTCAGCAGGTAGGTGAGCCAGCGTAACTCCTGTGGAGCCATGGCCCCAGCGTAGATCTCAGGCTCACAACTGGAGCTGAGAACAGAAGTCGAGCGGATAGACCGCCACGAAACAGAGCCGGAACCAAGACTGAAGGTGTAACCCTGTGACGACCGCTGGGTAGCCAAGTCGTCAACCCAAGAAGCGTCTGCGTGACCAGTGAGGACAACTCGAGCCCGTCCTCCAAGCACGAGCCCCATGCCCGACGTACTGCACAGGTAGCGCAACACCCTCTTAGATGCATCCATGTGCTCTGGTCGGTGTCTCCTAGGAGCAACATAGCGTGCTAGGATGCTAAGAGGGTATGCCAGGTGAGGTCGAGTGCAGGTCATCAGGTTCATGAGGCAGCCCACAAGCTCTGGGTACGGGCCACTCGACTCTACGGACTCATCCGAAGGCAGAGCTGAGAGCGAGTGGCGAGTAGACAGAGGAGTGGACTGTGGCGAGGAGTACGTGAAGCCGAAGCGCTGAAGGACCTGCTGCACCATGTGTGACTGAGTCAAGGTAATGGTGCGCCCTGCTCTGTCCCGGGTGATCTGCAAGCCAAGATAGCTGCGCAGCTCACCCAGGTCTGTGCACGTGTGTCTCTTCTACAGCTCCGACTTCACGTGGGCCAGTCCAGCAGCGTCAGCAGTAGCAAAGACCAAGTCGTCGACGTATACGAGGATGTAGAACGGCAGCAAAGTAATGTCTGTGCGGAGAAACAGCGACGGGTCAACAGTGGAAGGAGCGAACCCAAGAGCCGCAAGCATAGTCCTCAGTATGTCGTGCCACTCACGGGGCGCCTGGCAGAGACCGTAGATTGGCCGCCGGAGGCTCCACTGGGAACCAGGAGGAAACGACCCAGTGAAGCCAGGTGGGCGGCGCAGCCAGATCTCCTCGTGCAAGCTGCCCTGTAGGAAGGCTGTGCTGAAGTCAAGAGAGTGAAGCTCATAGTCACGCTGAGTAGCGACGTGCAGCAGAACCCGAAGAGTGGTCATCTTCGGGGTCGGGGAGAAGGTCTGCAAGAAGTCAACTCCCTGTGGCTGACGGAAGCCTCGAGCAACGTAACGCGCCTTGAAGACAGGCGGAGAACCTGGCGGCCGCTTCACCCTGAAAATCCACATGCCACTGACGATGTTCGCCCCAGGAGGGGGAACCTCGTCGATGTAAGTGCCTGTGGACTTCCAGGATGCCATCTCTGCGTCCATGGCTGACTGCCACTGAGAGGAGTAGGGACCCTCTATCGCCTCTGCGTACGAGCGCGGGGTCGGGATGTCTGGTGCATCCGGGTCTCCCTCAGGGGCAAGCAGCATGGACACGAGATGAGGTAAAGCAGCAGCAAAACACTGGAACTCCCCTGCCTGTCCTCAAGGACGTCCGTGCCAAGAGCACACTCTCCCCCGACGGACGGAGGACAGACAGACTCGGACTCAGCAACAAGACTAGCAGCGTAGTCTAGACGACAGCGAGCAGCAAAGTCGACAAGCTCAGCAACTAAGGCAGACACAGTAGTGGACTCAAAGGAAGGGTCAGTGACAACAGTGGCCAGGAGACGCGTAACAGTAGGACTAGCAGCACAAAGGGAGTCAGACTATGGGTCAGCAAGGGCAGGAAGAGAGGTAGCATGAGGAGACGGCAGAGGGACCCGTTGCAGAGCAGTGGAAGGACGCAGTGCCATCTAGTGCGTGCCGGGGACAGGAGGAGGACGCTGACACGAACCACTACGACTAGTGCGAGCAGCACGAACAAGCGACGCAGGACGAGACTCAGGCTCACGACGCTTCGTAAGACCTCCGGTCGGACCAGTGTAAGGAGAAGCAGCAGGCAGTGGGGAGGCAGGCTGTAATTGTGACTGCAACTGGACAGGCGGTGGACACTCTAAGGAAGGTGCAGGACCACTAGAAGACGGGAGACCAAGAACCTGCTGAAGGAGCGGAACGAAGTACGGCGGCGGCCACGCAGCGCCTCCAGATTCAGCAGAGATAGCACCAGCATCCCCAGCGTCAGCTCCAACTCCCGCAGCACCTCCAGCTCCAGTAGCACCACCAGCAGCTCCAGCAGCGTCAACTCCAGTACCCCCAGGATCACCGGCTCCAGCAGCACCACTCGCGCCAGCACCCCCAGCAGCTCCAGCTCCAGCACGACCCGCTCCAGCAGCACCGCCTGCTCCAGCACCTCCAGCAGCTCCAGCACCAGCAGCACCACCAGGCCCAACAGCTCCAGTACCTCCGGTACAAGCACCTCCGGGACCAGTGGCTCCAGAACCCCCAGCAGCTCCAGCAGCAGCAGGACCCCCAGCACCAGTAGCACCACTAGCTCCAGCAGCACAGCTCCAACGGCGAGCAAACCACTCGTGCAGCTGCTGTGGAGAAAGTGGCTCCCGCTGGGACGAAACACCCGAAGGACCTCCAAGCTCAGCACCCCCAGGCTCCACACGCGCCAGCTCAGTATCCTCAGGCTCCGCACACCCAGACTCAGCAGCCCCAGGCTCCGCACCCCCAGACTCAGCAACCCCAGGCTCAGCACCCCCAGACTCTCGACCCCCAGGCTCCGCACGCTCAGGCTCAGCACCCCCAGAGTCAGCACCCCCTGGCTCAGGACCCCCAGACCCGGCACCCGCAGGCTCAGCACCCCTAGCAGCACCAGAGTCAACAGCTACCTCGACAGGCCCGACTGTGTCTACCTGGGACACACCTGAGGGGGCAGGACCCTATGGGGGAAGGGGGTCTACCGGGGGAGGACCTGGCGCTTGGAAGAGTGGGGGGGGGGGGAGGGGGGCCGTGCGGTAGGGGAAGAGACGGTAGTAAGGAACCGACTCGTCAAACGTGACGTCCTGAGAGGACAGAACACGGCGCGAGGTAGGGTGGTAAAACTGCCAACCAGGCGCGTCAGGGGGGAAGCCAAGGAAGACGCAGGGAACAGCACGGGAGGACAGCTTGTCCGCAGACAAGTCACGGACAAAAGCTCGAGATCCCCAGACACGGAACACAAACGCATCGCCAACCTCCCCCGTCCACCGCAGAGTAGGTGTGGTCTCCGGCAAGGAAACCTGGGGCTGGAGGTTGAGCTGATGCGTAGCGTACTGAACCGCGAACGGCCACAGAAAATGGGGAGCAGCCGCATGGATCATGGACGTGCGAGCGACGTCCATGACCATGCCAATGCGGCGCTCAACAATCCCATTTTGCTGTGGAGAGGTCGGAAGCGTGAACGTCTGGCGGATGCCATCCGCACGACAGAAGGCTCGCAGAAGGCCGGAGGAAAACTCTCCACCTCTGTCCGAGCCGAAAATCTCGTTGAGCTGACGACGGGCAGCGCGGATCCAGTCGATGAGCACCTTAGTGACCTCACCCTTGCGGCGCAAGGGGAAGACTGTGGTGTAACGCGAGTAGTCGTCAATGACCAGCAGAAAGTAACGCTCGTGTCCCTGTCCACGGACGCGGGCTGGGCCCCACACGTCCATGTGAAGAGTCTGCAGGGGAGCCTCCGTCGGAGGGAACTCGGAGGAGTGAGGAGCGGCGCGCTGCCGCCCCTAGACGCAAGGAACGCAGGTAGGGGCAGGCCCCGGGGGAAGGGGAGGGAGAGACCAGGGCAGACCAGTGACAAGGACACGGGAGGCCATGCCTTGGAGACGAGGCAAGGAGGGGTGACCAAGGCGGTGGTGCCGGAGGAGAGTCTGGTGAGACAGGAGGCGACACGAGCAGGGGGCAGACTCAGGACCAGACCTGGACGCTGCAGCAAACACCAGACCAGACGCAGCTACCTGACCAGACCCAGTAACCGGAGGAGAC